ACAGTTCTCAGCAGTGATGTCATGCTACTAATAAAGCTTATTACAATAATCATTATCCACCATGTTTTTCCTATAATCATTTGTTTGGGAACCATGTTCACAGAATGTTGTTGATAATTTTCCCTTTTTTATACAATGCATTATACAACATTTTAAACATACATGTATTTATTCTAACTGCTAGTCTCTACACCTTAGCAATTTGGATGAGTAATGAAGACTCGAGGTTATAAAATTTTTTGTTTTATAGTCTTAACTTCATAGGCTAATGCACATTAATATCTTAAATTCCCTAGAATTTGAATCTAAAGGTTAAGGACATGAAACTCTATTAATAGATGACATCTTGGCACAGATAACTAAACACATTTGTGCAGTGCTGGAATTCATATTCAGTTTTATAATAAGGTTAGATTCTGTAAATAGCATCTGCATTTTAAAAAATGTTTTTGTGGCATAAAACCACTTTAAAGTGAGGGAGATACATGGAAGGAAATGTTGAGGGATGGATGTATAGTTGAAAGTTTAGTGGAAAGGGTACTGGACTTTGAAGCCAATAAACTAGGGTTCAGTCCTGCCTCTGAAAATTAACATTTTGATAATTTGTGAGCAGCTTATTTATCTTCTGTGATTCTCAGTTTCTTCATTTGTAATATGGGTACAATTGCTCATACATACATACATATGTATATACACATATATACATACATACATACACATATATACACATATATATAACACACACATATATGTGTGTATATATATATATATATATATATACATATATACACACATACACACACACACACACACACACACACACATATATACATATTTATAAATTCCACTTATTGCTCCTGGTTTTTTAGTAAAAAAAATCTAAATTCTCTTCCACATGACAGTTCGTCAGATATTTGAAGATCGAGTACCACATGAACCCGTGAGTCTTCTCCTGTCCAAGTTAACCTCCCTACCCCCAGTTCCTTCAGCTCTTCCTCACATGTCATGGATTCAATCATAATGGTTACCTCTAGAAGGGAAATAAGAGTTTGTAGTTACTCAATATGTAAGAATTTAGTACAGTTCATTTTATCAATCAGTCAAAAAACATTTATTGTGTGCTTTGTGCCATGTACTTTACTAGTTATTAGGGAATTCAAATACCACAGTCAGAAATTTCACTGCCTTCAAGTCTAATTTTATGATTACACATTTCAGAATAAAAGCATGCTGCTTTATTGTCTTATTGTAGCATGGAGGTAAGTGATCCTGGGTTCTCAAAGATTACCCATTGAAACAAGATCCCTTATCGATGGTACAACAGGTAGAGTGCCGGCTCTGGAGTCAGGAAGATCTGAGTTCAAATATGGCCTCAAACACTTAGTAGCTGTATGACCCTGGGCAAGTTACTTAACCCTGTTGGCCTCAGTTTCCTCATCTGTAAAATGAGCTGGAGAAGGAAAGGGCAAACCACTCCAGTGTCTTTGCCAAGAAAACCCCAAATGGGGCCATGAAGAGTCAGACACAACTGAACAACAACAACAATAACAACACCCTTCTCTTCCCCAGTCGCTCACTTGTTCACTCAGGGCCCTTTATGCTGTGATTGACCTGTCTATTGAATCAGGCTAATATTGCTGTAGTTACTTATTCAGCTTAACGTGCTTTTGTTCTATGTAAATCAAGTAAATCAAAATCCAACAGTTGGTATATCATGGAAGATTACATAATCTAAAACTGATGAAAGGATCAATGTGAACTTAATTTCTATATAAAAGAGAATTCCTCCATAAAAGGAACAGAAATCTCTGCAGCCAACAACAGCCTTCTAGACTGCTTCCTACAAGCATGGCGGTGTCTTGCTTTACTGCCCAGTTATATTGATTGAAGATACTTTTTTTTTTGGTAAATCTTCATGAAATCATACAAACTTAAGATTGGAAGGAAATCTTAGAGGTTATCTGGTCAAAAATATCTTTGCAGTATCTGACTCAGAAATTTCTCCCAGTACTTAGAAATTCAAGGGATAATTGACAATTCCAGCAGATTCAAGCAGCCACTGCTTTTTGTTGTAGTTTGTTCTAGAATATGCACATTATAAACAACATCTTAAAATGATCACGTTTTACTATAAGAATGTTAAAATTGAGGAATGGGCTCTTAAATAGGTATTATCCTGTCATGAAGCCAAAGATAAAACTGTAAGTAAGGATAATCATTCAAAATAGTAAAATTAATTCTCAATGCTATATAATAGACGAATATGCTGTATACATTGCTTTTAGGAGAGGTTCTAATTTACTGCAATGTAAAAATATCATTATTTTCTCATAAATATGGCTTCCAATTAACATACTATATATCTTTTTCTCTGTCCATCTGTCTACCCATCTATTGTTTGATTATTTTGGGGATTGGTTGGGGACTGTGATTTCATTGGTGTAAGGAGCTCCCAGTGAACTTTCTCTACCAATGCAGATTGGCACCTTCTCAGCTGCTTATGGTCTGAGAGAATTGGCTAGGTTACTATTGAGTGACTTGCCTGAGTCAGTATCATGTATCATGTGGCAGAGACAGGATCAGAACCCTGGTCTTTCTGATTCTAAAGCTAATTTTCTATGCATTTCCCCCCACTGCTTCTCACAGCTAGTTGTGAGAAAGTTCTTCACTGGGAGCTTATTACCCCAATGAAATCGGTCCTCAGCCTAGTCCCAAAATATAGGTAGATAATATACGAATAGATTGATGCTCACTATATAATATAGCTATGTACATACATATATATGTATATACATATAAATATATACAATACATATAGTATGCAAGATAATATATGTATATATTTATATATACTTATTAGTAAACTTGAAATATTTAACTGTTGGCTTTCTTAGAATTTAGAAGGAATTTTTAGAGATGATAAACTGATGCTTTATTTCTCTCTTGCTAATTTCCCTGTAGGAAGCAAAACCTTTCAAAAACATCCATTGACCTTGAGCTTTGCTTAAAGTTTTAGGTGTTCAATTTGTAGATGTTAATGTTAGGTATTTTTTTTGACTGCAAAGCATTTTTTAAAAAGTAAAAGCTGACCTAACATTTCTTTCTTTTGCTTCCTCAGACCAACTACTCAGTATCGCAGTTTAATAGATTCAGTTCAATTCAACAAATATTTTAGTGCCCATTACTGTGTATGTGGTTGAACTCTAAGAGACCTTCTCATTCAGTCCCCTCATTTTACATATGAGTAAACTGAGACCTGAAAGATTAGGGGATTGTTTTAGGTCTCCATCCCAGTCTATTAAAGCTGCTTTGGGACTTAAAGACTTTCACAAAAGTCATATCAGACAGTGATGCTAAAAGCAGTAAGCTTGTATTATGGATATGTTTTAATTCACACAAGGGAAAACCTAAGTTTTAAAATGAGACACTAGAGTTGGAAGGGACAATAAAGGGTAATAAAGGATGGGGCTGAGGAGAAGGAAGAGCAGTCAAGGATGCAACCAGAGAGATCCCTAGAACCTTTGGCGAAATGGTTGTCAGGCCACAATAGGAGGAGGAAGAGCTCAACAATGGTCCTGTGTGAGTCTGCCCTCCATACCTGACACATCTAGGTCATGGTCAATATAGGAGGACAGCACACACATAGTAGGGATGTAGCTGGGAAGGGCCATGGATTTTCTAGGGAGTGGAAACTACTTGCTCAGACATATGTGATTTCATAACTCTCACTTCTCACACGTAGGGAAATGACAGGTATTGATCCAGGGACCTTTCTGCTCTAGAAATATCTAACATGGAAAATTCCAAGAAAGGAAGGGAGTGTTATGCAGGAGGATAGTATGTGACCCCGTAGTAAGGGAGCCCTATGGATCTCAGACAGGCGGAGCTACCACAATCAGATACCTAGTTAGGAGCAGAGCCAATAATGAACTATTTATTGGCTTTAGAACCAGTTATTCTGTGCTCACTCCTTCCATCTTTGTCCAAAGATTAAACTCACTGGCTCATATCATTTGAGTTTTCAGCTTCCTGGTTGGTTCACACAGGATCATAAGTGGTTTGTTGTTAGGATGGCTCATCTATTGTTCATCTTGCCAGCAATGTGACCAGCTGCTGACTTTTCACATGATAGTCTGCCAGTATTGAGCGACCACTAGTACTTTGTTTTGTTGTAGATCATTCATCACTTTGTGTGGTGTGTGTGTTGTGTGTATTTTTTTAAAAATTTGCTTATTTTGGTTTGGAACTTGAGAAACATTAAATAAATTAAACATTTCCATATGTATTATGGAACAAGAGAGGATTGTTCATAAAACCACAAATCTATTTAGAGCTTACTTTTCTACTTAAATGTGTATAAATTCAACTTGTAATTTTTGAAATTGTCCTGCTTGTCTCTGATTCCTTGTGACCTTCCTTCTGTTCTCTTTTTCGGGGCAAAGAGAAAGACTCTATGCCTCTCCTTGCTATACACCATCCCCATTTGAGGGGAAAAAAGATAGAACCCTTGTAACGAAATTGCTTAGTCAAGCAAAACAGATTCCTACGTGTGTTAAAAAAAATGCATGTCTCATTCTGCATCTTCTCATTCTGCATCTTGAGTCTATCATCCCTCTGAGCAGAGGTCAATATTTGTTTCATTATTGGTACTTTGAAATAAGTTGGTCATTTCATTGATCAGAATACTTAAGTCTTTTACATTTGTTGCCTTTATAGTGTTATTGTTATTATCTGCATTGTTCTTCTGGTTCTGCTCACTTCACTTTGCATCAGTTCATGTGAGTCTTCCCAGGTTTCTATGAAACTGGCTCTTTCATTGTTTCTTACTATGCAGAAAGAAGTATACCATTGCATTAATATACCATAAGCCATTCAACCATACTACCCACCAATTAATGGACACCCTCCATAGTTTTTAGTACTTTGGCACTACAGAAAAAAGTACTATAAATATTTTTGCACATATATATTCTTTTTCCCTTTCTTTGATCTCTATTCAGATTAGCCTCAGTGTGGAGTTATACATGTGCCATTGACCTGTCCTCAGAAGTTAGTACTGTATGGATGTGGCAGAAATGAATCCAGATAGCTTTACATCTTCTGCGCTTTTCTCTTCCTATGTAGCTGTCTACTCAGAGGTGGGGACCAAAACACATGTATTTTATTGCCTTCTTATTCATATATTCCCTGCTCTGCATGTCACATTCATAAATAGATGCTTAACACAAAGTATATGTTGGGTCACTATTTTGAGTATTTCAGCTGCCTGCCTATAATTTGCCTCACGTTTCTTTTCTTCTGCCTGTTTATTCTCTTCTCATTTGCTATAGGCATTTAAAGATAGTATTATAGCTCTTCTGGGATTGTGAGTAAGAATTATAATATTTTCCAGGCCTCTAATAACCTTCTGCATACCTCAAGCACTCATTAACACTAAAGGGAACTAGTTTTGGGATTAGAACTGCCTCTGCTGAATTGTTCAAATGTATAGTTTAAATGTTGGTTTCTTAAAATGTTTTAATTGGATTTTTCCTTACTGATGTTTAATTTTGTCATTTTTTTATAGTTTTTACATTAATTGCTATCACTGCTAAGATCTGAGACAAGGTGGTGTTGATGCTAGCTGAAGAAAATTTTTACAGCCCACGTATAGCTTGCTTGTACGGTAAGATTTTTTGCCTTTTTACCCCCCTTAAGTCATTTCATTCCTTTTGGCCTTATAGTTCTGCAGTTTAATTTCTGGTACCTCAGCAAAGGCCCACAGTGTCAGAAAGGTTGATATCTTAGAGCACAGATCTTAATCACCAAATTAAGAATTTAAGTGATAAGCATTTATCTTAATACTCATTTTATCCAAATCCCTTTTTGAGAACCAAATGTTATTAGCTCTTCATATTCAGGAGATAATTATCTAGTTCTTAAGTCTTGAGCTTGTGACTTCTTTCTTTTTCCCATCTTACCCAGGAGTGTTTCCCCTCCCCCCCTTTAATTTCCATTAGCCTAGATTTTGACCATTTTTTATTTTGCAAACACATCTCTACTTTGTGTCCGAGTAGGAGAGGAAAAAAACCCAACCGCACGCAAAACACTAACTGGTCAATTCTACTACTATTCTACTACTATTATATTCTACTACTAATATACTGCTACTATTACTCTAATTGAAAATTTGGAGATGATCACTTGAACTGAAGATGAGCAACTGACATGAGGATTTGTATTACTTTTGAATTTAAATGATCCACATTATCCTTAAGACCTACAGATATCTCTTGATATAGAGAAGCAGAATGTTATAGTACATATGACATTGAATTGGGAGACAGAAGACCTGGATTTTAACCATGTGACATTGGACAAATCACTTTTACCTCTCTCAGACTCATTTTTCTCACGTATAAAATGATATATCTTTCTTGCCTATTTAGGGTTGTTGTAAAAGTCAAATACGATAATTTATGTGAATACTATTTGAAAACACTTGTGCCCTGGGCAAATATAAGCTAGTAGTATATAACAAAAATAAACTCATGATCTTTCATGCATTCCCAGCCTAAATGTCACCCTTGACTCCATGCTGTCCTTCACCTCCCACATCAGGTCATTTGCCAGTCTCGTAATTTTTTTCTATAAAAGTCTCAAATTTTGGCATCCAGAACCAGATTAAAATACAATTGGTAAATGATTGATAAAACAAATAAAAATACTGTACAACACAGTGCTTATTTGTGATTTTCTAAGTTAGTAAGTGAACCCATAGAGATCCATTTCTTTTTGAGATTGACACTACTGCTCTATGTTATATTCCATATTGATAACAGGCCCAAATCACCTCTTACCTTGACTATTATTTTAGCCTCCAATTGGTCTCTCTGTCTCAAACCTTCCCCTTTCAATCTGCTCTTCACATAACCACCAAGCTAGTTTTTCCTATAGTGCAAATCTGACCATGTTACATTCTTCTACACTTAGTAAACTCGGGGGATTCCCTACTGCCTTCAGGATCCAATGCAAACTTTTCTGTTTGATATTCAAAACTTTCACAAGCTGTCCCCGTCCTATCTTTACAACTTAACACACGTGACTTACAAATTAGTGCATGTTACTGACCTCCACGTAATAATCCCTTAATAAATGCACATTGATTGATTCTTGGAAAGTTACTTAATAAGTGAAATTTTATAAATGAAATACTGTTTTCTCATTGGCTTAGTTGAATAAGCCATATGGAAGCCAGTGGTTCCATAGGAGGATGTCTTTATACATACTAGTGATTATGATCATTATGAGAGAAATGAGAGCTTTCTATCACTGGGTATCTCAAACTGACCTTTTTATTCCCATTCCTTTTCATTCCTTCTTTCTTCTTTTCCCCTCACTGTTCCTATAGCATAATCTGTACTCTGTTACCTCATTCACAGGTCCTTATTAATACTTCAACTGAGGTCAGGACGTCTGTGTATAATATGGTTTCCTTTTTTGGCTAAAGAAAAATGCCTCGAATGTGGTAATGGTGGATGTTTCTTCCTTTTATGAGAGTTATAGTAATAAGATTTTTAAAGAGATGTCTTTTATCGCGGCGAATTGCATTAGAGTTTTCCAAGGACTACATCCAGTGATGGGGGGGGGAACATAGTTACAGTTATATGAACTAGGAAATGAGTGTTTGTTTTTACATATATTAATATAGATTGTGCCATCTGTTTTCTGATGGCTGTAACGTCAAAGTTTTACTACTGCTATTCTGAAAGCTACTATTTCTGGATCTCTTTCTCTTTTCTTTCCTACCAAATCACTCTCATTAGGCCCAATCTCCTGTATTAAACATATATAAGGATTCTAAAAGTCATGATTCAAAGTTGTAAGGAGGTGGATTTCAGATGAAAGTGAAGAATGACTTTTCTAATAATTAGAGAACCATATTACGTGCAGTTGATGACAACTTCCCAATTTTTTTCCAATGCAGTGGATGGTCTCCAGCCCATAGTTTTGTAGAAAACTCATCATTAGTTTGAAATAGCTTATTACATCCTCATTAACTTGCCATGTGCCAAAGAGCTTGGATAACTAAGAACAGTACTTTGAGAGATATAGCTGCAGCAACAATTCAGTGTGTAGGGAAGGAGTACAAGAAGCTGGCTTCTGTCCGCCATTTATTAAGCACTTACTATATGCCAGGCACTATGTTAAGTGGTGGACACTGTGCTAAGCACTACCTGTCAGTTTGTGTATTTTTACAAGAACAAAACAAAACAAAACCGAGATGAATGTATGGATAGGTGGGGTCAAATCCATTTAGTCCACAGATATCTCTACCATCATTAAGGAAAAGGCATGTTTTCTGCCTTTCCTTTACCACCTAACTTCTTTTCTCCTTTGCCATTGCTGTGGGTAGGACAGGAACAGAACAACAAAGACAAGATGAACAAGAGAAACATATTCAGGCTAAGATTTCTGCTTTTCAAACATTTACAGCTAAAGCCCTTAATAGTGTCTTAAAGGCAGTTCATTATATCAAGTCATTATACAAATATATACATATGTGTGTATATATGTATGTATATACATATGTGTGTGTGTATAAATTTGACCCTGGGAAATCAGTGCTTTTATTATCCCCCTTTTACAGATAAGGAAGCTGAGGCTGAGAGAGTTAAGTGATTTGCTCAGGGTCACAAAGCTAGTAAGTATCTGAGGCAGGATTTGAACTCAGGCCTTTTGTCTCCAAGTAGTTTGTTCTCTTCACTATGCTACATAGCTGTCTGTGTTTAAAAAAGAAAGAAACAAACAAACAAACAAACAAAGAAAATTAGCAGAAGTTGAGTTTCTTGCACAGTCCTCCTCCCTGATGTTTGTGTCTTGCAATATTGTTGCTGATTATTAAATTCATCATAAAAGAAAAGGAAAAAAAGACAGTTTAAGAACATCACCTGACAGGTGTTTCTTAGAGTCAGAGGTGAGGAAGGAGTGCATTCCAGCTGCTGGTGCCTCCCCTCCCCCAACCATCTTGTATTCCATAGGTTCCCAAAGTGGGTGATACCGCTCCCTGGGGGTGCTGGAACAATCTTGGGGGCAGGAGTAGCCTCAGGTGCCATTGGGGGATGTTGAGTAAAAGTAACGGGGCAGTGGAAGCATAAGGAAAGAAGAGAAGAGAAGAAAATTTTTGAAAAACTTTTTGTACGTGTTTCATCTATTGTGTAGCAGAGTTAAAGTCATAGTGATTACATTGTTTTCCAAATAAACACACAAAATACAAGTTATAACCGATCACTGGTCAAGTCGATTGACAGGTCTTAACAATCAAATGTTGGCAGGCAAGAGTGTTGCCCATTGTTGGGAAGTCCGGCATGTATTGGCAGGAACATGTGCTTGTAATGACTTGCTTACGATACAATACTATACAATTACATGATGGAATATTGTGTCATCAAAATTTCAATGCAGGAAAAACCTACAAATTTACAATAAATTATTAAACTTAAGATGCAACTTTTTTTAATCATATTTTTTGAAATGACTCAAGTTAAAAAAAATAATTAAAAGGTTAAAGAAAGTAGATTTCCAGGGGGGTACTGAATAATTATTATTTTTTTTTCGAAAAGGAGCAGTAGGCCAAATAAGTTTGGGAACCTCTGTTGTATTTTGTATGTATATACTTTTATCCAAATGTGAGATTCTTAAGGGGTAAACCTGCTTCAGTTTTGCATTTGTATCTTTAGTGCATAGTTAACACTGTACCTGACACATTTTTTGCTCATTTCAACAGCAGTTTTTTTGGGAAAAAATAGGTTACAGATTTTTAATGCTTTTGTTTGCTATGGGGAAATTTAAATAAAGATGAAATGGTTTAAGTTCAAACATCTTTAGACAGTTTTTAAAAGGAATTTGAACCTTCTCAATCTCCTTCCCCACAAGTTGTTCTAAATTCTAATGTGCCAAACAAATTATTAATTAAATGTTTAATTATTGTTTATTGATGATATCAAGCAAAATAGTTATAGGTAGGTTAAGATTACAATTGTAATATGTTGGAATTGCATTTTTATGTACTGTACACACTTTGAGAGACAATGTGGCATAGTGATTAAAGTTGGCTTCAGTGTTAGGAGGACCAGGGTTCAGGGTTCTATGTTTGACCTTGGATCAAACCTTGCTCTCTTAAGGACCACACCTTAAACCCAAATCACGTTGGCTGTCACTGATTGGCCAGCAGTAGGTCCCAGGCCAAGCCCCACTTTGAGCCCTGATTGGCTGAGAGTGAATGTAAACAGCAATTGTTTCTATTTTGGCCAGAAACCCTGCGGGTCTTCCCCTCCCAGATAGATTTTTTTTTTTGACTAGGTAAAAGAGGCCTTTCTCTGTCTCATTTCTTACCTAGCCTTAATCACTGAATGGGTGTTGCTTCAGTCAAATTGAGGCCTGCTAATGACCTTAGCTTAAAAAGGCCAAGGTCTCCCACTGCATCCTGGACCATCTCCAATTGTCCTGATCCATATCTGGCCATTGGCCCAGATGGCTCTGGAGGAGAAAGTGAGGCTAGTGACTTTGCACAGCCCTCCCTCACTTAAATCCAATTCACTTGAGTGTCATGGCATCACCTCCCTGATGTCATGGCTCTCTTTGAGAACGAAGGACAAACAAACAACAACTTTTGACCTTGAGTAA